CACAGCAATGTGAAAACCTGACGGATCCTCCAGGCACTCTCTTCCCGCACTCCAGCAACCTGACGGATCTTCCGGGCACTCTCTTCTCGCACTCCAGGAAGCCATGCTAACTGAACAGCTGGTTCCGCACTGAAAGCAGCCAAGCCCTGACATCTCCTTCACATAATATAGAGGAAAGAATTTATTTTATTTTTTATGTGCGTGGGTACATTGTCTGCAGGAATGTCTGTCCCTGCTGCCCATGGAGGACAGAAGAGGGCACCGGATTCCATGAAACTGGAGTTAGGAATGGATGTGAGCTGCCATGTCATTACTGGGAGCAAACCCAGGTCTTCTGGAAGAGCAGTCAGTGTTAACTCCATCTCCCCAGCCCTGGAGGGAAGAACTTAAAGACTAGGAAGAGAGGGCCACGGGAGTGGATTTTTCATGTGTTGCTAACCTAGGCGTCAAGTTCTGACTTTATTTCCCCAAATGGGGCCCGAGAAAAGCATTGGTAAAAGAAGTGCTGTGGCCTTCACACTGCTTTAGAGGCCATTTCCTGTGATGTGGCTGCTACTGGAGAGCAGTGTAATGACTATAGGCTCTCTAATCATGGAGAGCAATGTAACGAGTATAGGCTCTCTAATCAATGAAGGCGGGAGGACAGAGACACAGAAAAAAACGAGAGACACTTCATGGCCCAGAGTATCTAGAGGGAAAGTGGTTACAGTTGCATAGGTCAGCAGGCCTGATAGATACAAAATGACCCAACTTCAGGATGGAAACTAATCAAAGGATGCCATTGGCTGGCAAGGGCTGTGAAGGGCATGAGATATGACTCTGTGTGCAAGCTGCTGTAGTTTGAGTGATGAATGTCTCCCAAAGGCCCCTATGTTGAAAGGCTTGGTCTCTAGGATGGTGCTACGGGGCAGTGGTGGTAGGTCCTGAGGACCCGGGGGGCCTGCTCTCAAATGGGCCCCTTCCTGTTATTGTTTGCTCCTTGGCCATGGGATCAGCTGTTTTCTGTGCCCTGTGCATCCTGCTGTGGTTGTTTTAACAGCAATGCCAGAGGCCTC